ATGAAAAAGAAAAGGAATGAAATGAATCTATGAATAGGATGAATAATATTGGTGAAAGATATTATACAAACTTACACGTGCAACAGGAAATCTTTTCACATTAATACTTAACACTGGCTTTGAATGAAATATGAGAGCACTAAGAGATCAGCAAGGGAACCAAGAGCTTGAAGAGCAAGTCGAGCAGGTAGTGTAGCTTGAAGAGTAGAGCTTAGAGAGCGATCCCTTCACCGTCTTCAGTATTTGTACTTTCCATCGACCTCTGTCCAAGGACAGCTCAATCCTAGATGCTTTTTGGTTGGAATCCTCAACTATGCCAGCAGAAACTATCATTCAAAAGCACATGGTCTTAAACTCACAAAAATGCGGAAAAAATCATATTCAACCCTTATGGGCACAGGAACAGAATCTACTACCCTTGCTAATGCTACTGAATGAATTTGACTGAAAAATATCCGAAGTCTTCAGGGTTTTGATGATGTTCATCAGAGTTCACTATCAGGAAACACTTTGAAAAGTCAGGAATCAATGAATTACTCAGCTCTCCCAGAATTTCAGTATTCGAGCTTCCGAATAAGTGAAATTCAACTAGAATCAGTCTTAGGTACTTATATATTGATCAAAACCAGTCTCGTGATAAATCTGGTGAAAAACACTTCATCACAACACTCCAGCTGTTATTTAGTCGGAGTGTTTATTGCCATTAGGTAACTCAAGGAACTGCCAGAAGAAATGACTCGTCCTAGGGACTCGTGATTTTTTCAGAAGCAGGTTTTCTTGTGAAACTATTAGGCAACAAAATTCTTATCGATATATGTCAAGTTTACTTCGACAAAAAAAACACTTTCGTGTAATTATAAGTGATAAATCATGATCTACGTATATCACTCAAGAAAACACATCATACACGAATTAAAAGAACATCGGATTCCCTATAGATCTCATGCATGTGAAGTTTGCTAATATGCGAGAAGGTTAACCTATGTTATCACACTTAAGCTCTTTCTTTTCACTTGTTTAATTCGTCTAATTTACCTTTTACCTATATTCTGGGGAGCTCTGAAACGTATAGATAGATCATAGTTCTGTTTTTGAATTCTATATATAATGATTGATCATCTGAACGCTGGAATTATAAAGTTGGTATCTGAATAACACCTAAAAAATTCAAGAACCTTTCCCTTGTGATATTTTAGCAAATGAAGTTTATATATGAAGAGCCAGGGGGAATAACGATAAAGCTCCATTTCAAAATATTTTCGGATTATTGGTGCAAACGGTACAGTTTCGGCAAGACTATAACCTATCCAATCAAAACTGGATGAAATCGCTATATGTCGCGAGATATTAGGATCTGAAATTGTGGTATAAGGGCAAAGAATGATGAAGGTCCACCCATAACTTTCAAGAAAGATGAGGGTCCTCCCCAAAAAAGGGAACAAGAACCTCAAGAACCTGCCCAACAACTACAGGCCCATTGCCCTGTTATCAGTAATCTCCAAAGTGATGGAGAAAGCCATCAATATTGACCTTATCAAATATCTGGAGAGCTCAGGAATCATCAATGATAGACAATATGGCTTTCGCCACCGAAGATCTACTGAAGATCTACTCGCCAACGTCACCCATTCATGGCAAGCGTCATAAGACAAACACAGGGAATCTCTAGCTGTCGCGTTGGACATATCGAAAGCATTTGACCGTGTTTGGCACGAAGGACTCCTCCACAAACTATCATCATACGGCTTACCACCTCAGTTATGCCATTTCTTATCGAGTTTTCTTTTAGACAGATCGCTTCATGTGGTGGTGGACGGTGTATCGTCTGATACCATGCATCAATTCCGGCATTCCACAAGGATCAATTTGGGCACCGACAGTATTCCTTCTTCATATCAATGATCAGTTGGGAGTAACAACTTGCCCCATCCACAGCTTTGCAGATGATAGTACCCTCCATACTGCGTTCTCTTCGAGAATTCCCATTTCTTCCCAGGAAACTAAGAACTCACGGCGCAGGCAGGTCAATGCTGTCAATGAAGACCTTACTGAAATCACAGCCTGGGGAACCAACAACCCAGTTGAATTAAACGCCACCAAAACTCAAGCCTGTATTTTCTCTAGAAAGTTGGAACTCAGTATGCTCGACATTGTAATGTCTGGCACCACCATCCCCACCAAGCCTACCATATCTATGCTCGGTATTTCTATCAGCAACACTCTCACATCTCACATGGGATAATCATGTCAGATCCATCGCAAAAGCTGCTTCACAAAAACTCGGATTCTTGTTCCGTGCGAAAAGCTACTTTACACCTCAACAGCTTCTCATTTTCTACAAAGCGCAGATACGGCCTGTTCTAGAATACTGTTTCCACATATGGGGTTCAGCACCAAAACAAACGCTGATGCTCTTAGATTCCATCCAGAGAAGAGCCATCCGCCTGGTGGGTGACGCCACACTCACTCACTCTTTGACATCATTGGAACACCGTAGAAAGGTCGGCGACCTTTCACTTTTCTATCGATATTTCCACGGGAAATGTTCTTCGGAAATCTCTGCTATCATCCTTTCACTAGCAATACCATTCAGACGAACTAGACAAGCCCAGTCAGCACATCCTTTCGTTGTCAATCTCGAAAGATGTCGAACAGCACTTTATCAAAACTCCTTCATCCATAGGACGGCTAGGCTCTGGAATTCATTGCCTGAGGAAGTATTCCCAACAACATATAATCTCCAGAAGTTCAAAAAAAATTCCAATACCTACCTCCTATCCCTATCCTCCCTAGGAACGCACGATGTTCTTTGAACATTATAGGGATTCCCTTTCGTGCGCTCCAAACGATAAAAAAAATAATAACTCAAATGAACTAAGCTTGCGATGAAATTTCATGAGTTAAAATTTGAAACCATTATCACAAATATAGCAATTTGGGTATAGTTTCAAACTTTAAAAAGGCTCTACTGGAAAATTCGCTTTTTGTGAGCTTCATCGTTATTTCCCCTGGCTCTTCATATATTATTATAACTTGCTTCGTTTTTCAGATATAGGATGTTGAAGTTGAAAGTATTAATTGTTTTCATTTATAATCCCCCTGATTTATGAGCTTTCATGGTGCCAAAATTCAGTATGGATGGAGACTGAGAAAGCACCAAGATTTCAAAATGATTCTAATTGGGTATATTGAGTAATTTTGAGAACACCTACATGAAAATTTGGAGTCGAATCGAATTTTTATTGTTTCCTCAAAAACTGCAGAGCTACATACAAAAATCACACAAAAGATGGAGAAGTTGTTATTTCAATATTTCAATCTAATGAAAATATATAACTAAGAAGAACCGGTGGTGTACAATGACATTCACCATGTTGCGATTAATTCACCCACTGTGACGCCACTGGGAATATTATTTCGAATCTAATTGCATAAGAACAAGCTCCATATCACTATCACCAGAATCGCAACGGTTTATTGGAATTGATGGAAAGAAAATTGAGAAATGAATAGTGAACAGATTCTTCATGGAAATATTGATACTCTCTATCTCGAAAACGAAGCAAGTTAGAACACATGTTTATATGAACTTCATTTCCTGAAATATCACAAGAAATTACCCCTCGAATGTTGTTTGTGTTATTCAGATACACCCTGTATAATTGCGTTGAAATAATATGATATGAGTATTTTCCATAGATTCTGGTGAAGAATAGATGATAACTATTCAATATATCAGATCATCAATTTCATGATGAATAGGTATTTATTGAAATCAATTTTTGCTTATGTGCATAGTTTCCAGTGGTTCCAGGGCATGAGGCAGTTGATGAATCTATGCTCCTGAGACTTTCTCTAGAATAGTCTCGAACAAGCATATGTCCTCTAATCGGAGAACTCAGGAAGAGGAAAAAAAGCCAAAAAGCCTTGTTAAGCAATTCCAGGTCAACGTGAACAAGAAAGGTCATCAACAATAATAATTTATAATTCTCAGCACACGAGAGCATAAGCACGGCTGAGGTATTGCTATAAAAATGGCCCAAACGGAGTCTTGAACCAATGAGCTCAATATCATTCATTCATTGCTTTGAACTTGTCGCATTCGTCACAACGTAACCAAAACCGTGAACCACAAACTCTGATGCTGTTCCTAATTCTCAATTTGGAAATATTCACGAATATCACAAATTACAGGTACACTTATAAGATTTGACAACATAAGGAACAGAAAGAAAAACGAAGTGTAAAAATGAACAACAAAAATACAAAACAAATAAAAACATCAAACGAGAGAAACAAACTGTTATAACATGAGTATATATGTGTTGAAAAGGAATATTCTCAGATAAATTATGGACATACAAAAATGGATATATATTTATATGAAGCAATACATTGAGAATTCGCATTCTCTATGTGATGAGAATATTTACTCTTTCTCAGTTGATTCAATAGAATTTCAAACTCTTATCGTGTGTGTTCAATAGATATAATTCGATGTTCGTCGTGGCATATAGCCAGGAAAGTAGTTGTTTTCTATTGAATCAACTGAGAAAGAGTAAATATTCTCATCACATAGAGAATGCGAATTCTCAATGTATTGCTTTATATAAATATATATCCATTTTTGTATGTCCATAATTTATCTGAGAATATTCCTTTCCAACACTTTTATACCCAATCAGGGGGTTCAAACTTGAACGATGGAAACTTGTGATTTTTATAGACCTCTAATCGCAGATTCGTGATAGAGTCTCAATTCAGAATTTCTTTCCACGCCCTGTATGATGAATTTCAATTTATCATACACCCAAAAGCAAAATCAATTCAATTTTCATTTTATGCGAGATTATATTTGTTTCAATAAATGAAAAATGTTTAGTTCTATACAAAAAAAAATATTAGAGCCCTATAAATCAATGTGCCTTGGGACCCAAAAAATCTTACGATGAGCCTGACGTTATCACCGTCTTACATAAAAAAACATCACAACTAGATACCTTATTTTTTTCTTAGGAGGAGGAAGAACAGGATCCAAAACTAACTCGCAGCACTTAGTCATTTCTGTATATTATACCGTTCACTTCTTTTGAAAAGTCGAACAAGAAGTAGCAAAAAATGCCGTCGGATTTGTTTCTTTCAGTAAAGCATCGATCAGCGTGAGTTTTTTTCTGTGATTTGGTGAGCGATAATAGCGATCTACAGGGGCATCAACATATTGAATATTCTATATTATCATCTTGATCATCTTGAAGAATCCATAGTTTTTCAGTTGTACATCTTTCTATACAGGGTGAAAATTTGAAAACGAGCAGCACTCAATATTTCTACGACTGATGACATTAGGAACAACTTCTGAGGAATTCGTTGTTACATTTCATTCAAAACCTCTTTACTGTCAGGGAAACCGTGCCTAAATTTTCGAATGGCAGACGTGTAGCATTTCGGGAACATTATTTGTTCTCTTATTTGGGCTAGGTCAGACAATTATTTGTGGACACCTGTGTCAAGGATGTGGCTCTTTGTATATACAGGGTAACATTTCGAAATCTTCCCACCCTCAATATCTGCCTTTCAGTAAATAAAATGAAAATTCGAAAAGATTGATCAATTCGAATGTCAAGAAGTACAATTCTAATGCATATTTTTAGCTTTCTTGGTCAACCCTCTAGGAGGAGTAGATGTAACATTTAGAATCCCAAATGGAGAGGAAGGTCAAGTTGCACATCATTCTGAAAGGCGTTTAATTATCTTCCCAACAGTACACTAGTTTCTGAATTTTTAATGAGAAGTTTCCGAAAATTGCCGTTTTAACCTTACAGAAGTAAATGGAACATGCCTGCACTGAACTGCATTCAAAATCTTCCTACCATTCGGACTGAAAAGGTCAATACATCAATAATACCAACTTGAAAACCATGCATATCAGTCGAGATATCAGCGCAAGCATGTTCTAATTACTTCTGTAATGTCAGAACGGCATTTTCCGGAAAGTGTTCTCAAAAAAAAAAACTAGGATATAGTTGAATAGAGACTTGAATGCCCTTCAAAATGATGTGCATCTTGACCTCCCTTTTTATATTAGGTTCTTAGGGTATCATCTACCCTTCCTAGGGGGTTGAACTAAGAGAGCTGAATATATGCATTTCAAGTGTCTTCTTCAGGAAAGGAATCGACGTGTCTATTCGATTCTTGATATAATTCACTGAAAGGAAAAAATTATCGGGTGGGATTCAAATTTTGCCATGTCACTGGTGGGAGAAGAAAACATTTTGGCTGGCACTATGTTCCGGTGATGAAAAAGTGAATGTCCATTGCTGGTACAATAGTGTATTTCCTATAGATCAGGTTTACACTATTATGACAGCATTGGTGATTCAATGGGTATAATCCATTTTACAAAAATACTGGTTGAACGATGAATAAAGGATATAGGTTTCTCAATGTCATTAAGTCAACAATGAAAAGACAATGGATCATCAGCCAATCAGATGCATTTTATCGACAGCATTCTTTCGAAAATCGACAATTGATGTGTTTTTCTTTTTGCGCATGAAACGTCATTTGTTATTGTGAGATGTGTATTGACCAAGTGAATTAATAAAAAGTTATATGAGTATCAAGTCAAAATGACAAATTTAGTTGAATAAAAACTAATATCATTGTTCGAGAATATCCATCGTGATATGTTATAGTACCTCTACCATGAAGTTTAAGTCCTATAAGGAATTCACTCTAACCTCAGACTTGAATCTTTGTTTCCAACTGACTTTTGTTGTAGCAAAATGCTATCACGATTTATAGCTTACTTGGAATTCACAAATAGTTTATACCGGATACCAAAGAAAAGAAGTTCCCAAGTATTGGCAATAATGTTCCAGGTATTACAGAAATCACAATAGCAATCAACAGAAACATACTTCATAAACTCGTGGCTGATTGACCAGATCAGATGTGGATATATTTTTTTTTCATCGATTGGAGCGCACGAAAGGGAATCCCTATAATGTTCAAAGAACATCGTGCGTTCCTAGGGAGGATAGGGACAGGAGGTAGGTATTGGAAGTTTTTTTGAATTTTTGGAGATTATAGCTGAATACGGATTGTAGTATTTATTATTATCATCATTTTCAATATTCGTTGAATGATATTCTCTATGAGTAACCTCATATTTATCTGTGTCGAAAAAAAAGTACTCGATTTTTATTGGGAATGCACTGAAAATACGTCAGTCAGTCATCACTGGGCCAACAATGAACAATAAGCAATAAATGGAAGTACTGCTTCGCCAATATTGGTGTTGAGTTGGCCAATAGGCATTTCTCAGGAGTTATCATATTTAATACCATAAACTACAGTGCTATGGCTTTATAGGATCGTCATATAACTGGATTTCCAGATATCTAACAGACAGGAAACAAGTAGTAAAACTCCAAGGAAATGAATCGCACATGGAGAATAACACAACAGGTGTACCACAAGGCTCGGTTTTCGGTCCTATTCTTTTTCTGCTTTATCTGAATGATCTGGTAACCGTTGACATCGAAGGGAAGTTCACATTTTTTGCAGACGATACCACCATCCTTTGGTGTGGGACAAATGAAGATAATCTCAGAGAATACATAACTTTCGATCTCTATAAAATTAAAAAGTGGTGTGATTCAGACTCCTCATCTTTCAACACAAATAAAACAAACATAGTCTGCTCTAAGTTCAGTTTCGACGACTTACTTATAGAAAATCACGCTGTAGTGCACAAAACTCACACAAAGTTTTCAGGGTTATGTATAGATGAAAAATTAAAATTTTATAAACATGTAGAAAACTCATGCAAAAAAATAGCATCTGGCTGTTATGCAGTTCGAATTGTTTCAAATGAACTCAATCAATCCTCAGCCAGAAATGTGTACTATTTTCCTTGATCGAGTCCCATTCGAGATATGGAATTGCCTCTTGGGGCTGATGTAGTCAGCAACTACTAAATTCAGTATTCGTTTTGCAAAAAAGGGCTGTCAGATACATTTGTAAGGCAAAATCACATTATAGGGATTCCCTTTCGTGCGCTCCAATCGATAAAAAAAAAAAAAAAAAAAAACAATTTTCATCAGTCAAAAAATTCTAACTTTACCTTGTATGTTCCTTTTGGAAACAGTGTGTCTAATACACAAAAAGTATTCAAATACAGCAGTAAATAATGACAGACGATACCATACAAAAGGAAGTCGGGATCTACCCCTGCCAATACCAAAATTAGCAATTACAAAATTTCCTTTGATATATGAGAGCAAGAAAATATATTACCACCTCCCAATGTACTACAGGGAAATAATAAATTTAAAAAAGTTCAGGAAATCAGTTAGAGGTATTTCCGAGGGTATTTCTGCTAAAAGCCTACTATGACTTGAAGGAATATTACACTGATGAATTTTAAAGCTTAATACTTCCGTTGCTCACTTTTCTGGATTGCGTGATTCATTTATTTATCTGTAATGTTTGATATATTTTCTGTAATGTTTTATTTATATTCGTTTAGGTACACATGTTTCAACTCTCGATTGTTCATTATATTTCATATAATTTTATATTTTTAATATTTCTGACTTTATAAAATCACACTCACTTTGTCAATAAGAATTACTTCTTTGACAATAAAAGCATGATTGATTGATTGATTGATTAATACCACAAGTGATAATATTTTGCCGGAAATATTCGGTGATTGTTACGACAGCTTGTTGCCGAGTAATTTCGTGAATGACATTGTTATCAAAGCTGTGAGTTCAACCACCTAGGAACGGTAGATGTTACCCTTTGAACCTCATATGAAAAGTTAGTTCAAGATGCACATCATTTTGAAGGGCGTTCAATTCCTTTTTCAACTATACCCTAATTTCTCATTATTTGGTAAGCAGTTTCCGAAAAATGCAATTTTAAATTTACAGAAGTAATTAGATCATGCCTGCACTGATTTCCCGACTGATTTGCATGGTTTTCAGGTTGGTATTATTGTATTGACCCTTTCAGTCCAGATGGTAGAAAGATTTCGAATGCATTCCAGAACAGGCATGTTCCAATTACATCTGTTAGTTTAGAACGGCATCATAAACTAGGATACTGTTGGAGAGAGAATTGAACGCCCTTTAAAATAATGTGCATCTTGACGCCCTTCGACATCGAAATTGACTTATCATGTCGATTTATCGAAATAATTTCTTTATGTATCATGTTTAGTAGGTTGAAACCAGGCGCTCCTATATTGGTACAGCTGCTGATATAGTGCTGAAAGACGCCGACACACACATTAAAACCTTGTAATTTTTCTGCAATTAGTATTTTCCTTTGCACTTATTCTGCTAGGTATCCGTTTGCTACCCTCGAGTACTTCCATCCAATTTGACGCTCCGAAGTGGTCATGTTAGCACCTGCATTGGCTAAATAAGTAGTCGCCTAAGACCTTCGCAGGCAGTGACCGATGTAAAGCGCTGGTTCCTTCAATTTCAAAAACGTTGCATTTCTTGAACGAATCTTCGACAACATATTTATTCCCACACACTAACTAGTTCACCTCCCATTTTCATTAAAAAATAAAGGGCGGCTAGAACTAGTATTTCAAGCAATTCAATATCTTGACTCTGTCAACAATATACATTTATCGAAGTCTCATGTATATTCGAAAAAACTTATACGAAAATTCAGTTTCCCTATAGCAATGTTCATACACATCACATCAGAAATTGTGAAAAGATGTAAAATCTGACTTACGTCTTCCTAAAACACTATATCAACGTTGATCAAAAAATTGTTGAATGATGGGTGGTTCTACTCAATCGAGGAATACTTTATCACTCACTACCGCATCTTTAGACTGACTTTAGACTCCAATTCCATTGCATTCATTAATTTCTATCACATTTATTTGGTTATTAATCTGTATGTCCATATCATATTTTATGAGTATTAATTCCAGACTTTTTCATATTATGCTCAAGTATCACTTCGATTTTATTCTATATTCTTTTACTTTTCAAATTGTGTAGCTCAATATTCTTTGACTTGACTTGT